CACGGAAGCGCAAAAAATAAACTAAAAATCAGTCATTATTCCCCAGAACCCAATACGGATGAGAAGAAAACACAGCCCCCCACCCCCGCAGACACCAGCCTGTGGCTGTGATTTGTTTGAACATGGCACGTGGCATTAGTGGCTCAGCCAGGGCCTGGCCTGACTTGGGAGCCACACTGACAACTGAGACTGCAGGGCCAAAGTCACCTTCCCAGACCCCTTTCCTTTGTATGCTGGAGAAAATAATCATAAAAATACCTACCACTGACTGAACTCTGAGCTACCAAGCAGTTCATTCTCAGAACCATACAAAAATAGGAATTATTCTCATTTTACAGCTGAGTGGCTCAGGGAAGTCAAGTCCATTTTCCAACATTCCCCAACTTATAAGCGGCAGAAGCAGGATTGGAACCCACAGCTGTCAGGATTCAAAGCCCAAGTTCTCCATCCTGATGTTGTATGACATCCTTTCTGGGCTAGGAAGATGCTCGGTACCAGTGCCCCTTTAGGGATGTTGCTACTCCACACAGAGCTCTGTTTCCTCAGTAGCAATTTTTCCTTTTTTGGAGACAGGATCTCCTTATGTAGCCCCATCCGGACTCGAACTCATGGCAATCCCCGTGCCTCAGCCTCCCAAGTGCTGGGATCAGAAGTGTGTGTCACCACACCTGGTCAGAAATTTTTTTTTTTTTTTTTTTTTTTTTAGGGAGGCCAGGTACTGGGGATGGAACTCAGGTAGGTGCAGTGCAAGTGAGCTACACCCCTGGCCCAGAAATATTTATTAACACTTTTATTGAGATTGAATTCACATGCCACAAAGTTCACTCTTTAAATGTGTACAACAGGCCGGGGTGTGGCTCAGTAGTAGAACCACAAATGCTGGGGTGTTTGTCCAACACACACAGGCCCTAGGTTCCACCTCAGCACCCTGAAAACAAATATATAAAAGTACAATTCAGTGTTTGATCTCCGCCCCCACCCATGTTCCTCCAGAACATTTTCAGCAGCCGTTTGGCAGTATATGGGTGTCTGGGTTGCTGTTACTTTCGGTTATCAAAAATGCTGCTGTTGTGACCATTTACGTACGCTTTTGTTTGTGTGCATCAATATATGTTCCTGGCTCTCGGGTTTCTACTTAAAGTCAGGCTGCTGGCTATGTGGTAAACTTCTTAGTCTTTGGAGAAACTGTGACATGTTTTCCCAACCTGCTCACCATTTTATAGTCCCACCGACAGGGCCTATGAGGGCTTCACTTTCTCCCTATCATCCCCCACGCTTAATATTACTCATCTTTCTATTACAGCCATCGTAGTGGGTGTGAAGTAGCATCTCATTGTGGTTCAATCTACATTCCTTAACCTTTAGTGATGTCAGCTGCTTTCCATGTGGCTATTTGTGCATATTATATATTTCCATGTTGGCTATGTACATATATTCTTTGGAGAAATGTCTATTTGTGCCCTTTATATATTTTTTTATTTGAGTTATTTGTCTTTATTACTGAGTTGAAAGAAGCTTGTGTCTTCCCCACCCCGAGTACTGAGAGTTGAACCAGGGCCTTCACACTGTGCTAACTCCCCAGTGCTTTAAAAGAAAAAAAAATTGTTTGACAAGGCCTTGCTGAGTTTCTAGGTTGCCCAGACTAGGCTAGAACTTGTGATCTGCCTGCCTCAGCCTCCCAAGAGGCTGGGATCTAGGCATGCAGCATTATGCCTGACTGTAAGAGTTCTTTATACATCCTGGGTGAGTGAGTTCCTTATTCAGATATATAAGCTGAAGATACATTTTCTCATTCTGTGGGTTGCCTTTTCACTTTCTTTTTTTTTTTAATGTTCAGTTCGCACTTTATTTGCAAATTATATTTTAGACCAATTTCAAATAAGAAAATGTAGAGCTAGGAATGGTGGTGCATAGTTGTGGTCCCAGGTATTGGGGAGGCTGAGGCAGGAGAATCACTTGAGCATACAAGTTCAAGAACAGCCTGAACAACATAATGAAACCCTTATCGCCAAAAGAGGAAAACAATGGAAGGAAGAGAGCGGGGAGGAGGAAAGGAGGGAAAGAGGAAGGGAAAGAAAGAAAGAAAGAAAGTCTTTTCATTTCATGTTGTCCCTTGAAACACAAGCATTTTTAATTTTGATGAAGTTCACTTTCATTTTTATTTCTCTTTTTGTGCTTTGGTGTTATATTTAGAAATTATTCCATAATGCAAGGTCATAAATTGATTCTTATATTTTCTTCTAGCAGTTTTATAATTTTAGCTTTTACACTTATATCTGATATATTTTAAGTTAATTTTTGTACATGGAATGAGTAGGGGTATAACTTCTTTCTTTTGCATGTGGATAGCAGGTGTCCCAATGCCATTTGTTGAAGAAACTATTCTTTCTCTGTTGGATGGTGCAGTCTTCTTAAAAATCAGTTGCCACAGATGTCCGTGTTTATTTCAGGTCTCTTGATTCTATTCCAATCATCTGTGTCCTTATTTTAGTGCTGTACTGTTTTGATTAGTGTAGCTTGGCAGAACTTTTGAAATCAGGAAATGTAGATTCTCCTATGGTTTTCAAGATATTTGGCTATTTGGGGTTACTAGCAATTCTATAAGAATATTAGAATAATCTTGTCTATTTCTGCAAAAAGTTGAGGTTTTGATAGGAATTAAACTAAAAATATAGATTAATTTAGGGAGTTTTTCCATCTTTGTTGTATTGTCTCCCAATCCAAAAACATAAGAAATCTTTCCATTTATTTAGGTTTTCTTTAATTCCTTTCAACAATGGTTTGTAGTTTTTCAGATTCTATGCCTTATATTCTAAGTTTACTCATATTTTATTCTTTTTGATGCTATTATAGAATTGTTTTTTAGCCAGGCGTGGTGGCGCACGCCTGTAATCCCAGCATTCAGGAGGCTGAGGCAGGAGGATCACTGTGAGTTCAAGACCAGCCTGGGCTACATAGTGAGTTCCAGGTCAGTCTCAACTACATAGTGAGACCCTGTCTCTAAGTAAATAAATAAATAAATAAATTTTTAAATTTCACTTTTCAGATTGCTTATTATTAGTGTATAAAACTGCAGCGGCTTTGCCAGGGATTTACCTCAGTGGCACCATGCCTGCCTCACAAGTACAAAGTCCTGAGTAAGATTCCCAGTATCAAACAAAAAACTACAAGGGGTGATCAAAATATATAATTTTAAAACTTATTACAGTAACTGGGCATGGTGGCACTCACCTGTAATCCCGGCACTTGGGAGGCTGAGGCAGGAGGATCGCTGCAAGTTCACAAGTTCAAGGCCAGCCTGGGCTATGTAGTGAGTTTAAGCCCGTTGTGAACCACTTTCTGAAGCAGTTCTGGAAGTCCTCTTTCCTGAGTGTCTTGTGGGTGTGATCACAAATACAGTGAACGCGGCTGCAGAGCACCATCCAACAAAAGACAGGCTCAAAATCATTAGGCTGTGTCCACGTCCACCTCGTCACCAGACCCGGCACCAAGAGACTTCTGGCTCCTCCTCAAAGCCAAAATGACCGTGTAAGATGAGTGATTTGAACCAACTCAGGACAACAAGGCAGCCACAACAGCACAGCTAAAGGCACAAAAGATACAGATCTGCTTCAGAAAGGGATAAGAACAATGGGACGGGACATGTGTTCAAAGCGAGGGAGAGATTTTGAGGGGGTTGATGGCAATGTCTTTACTGTAATTTTAAAAATGTAAACATTTACTGTATTTGTCAGCCACACCTCATAAAGTTGACTTTCATAGGCTAATCTTGTGTCCTGCAAATGTACTTAAATTTTCAATGGCTCTGTTTTTGTGTGTGGATTTTTATACAATATCACAGAATCAACGAAAAAGAGATAGTTTGACTTCTTCCTTTCCAATCCGGATGCCTGTTATTGCGTGTGTGCGTGCGTGCATGTGTGTGTCCTGGCCGGAGCCTCCAGATATTAGTGGCAAACAAACACCTGGTCTTTTCTCATTCAGTAGGACAGCAGCTGTGGGAACTCCTGAGATGGCTCTGAGGGATTCCTGGCTATTTTTATCATAAAAGCTTTTGGCTTTGGCCGGGAATGGTGACACTCGCCTGTAAACTCAGAGCTTGGGAGGCTGAGGCAGGAGGATCATCACAAGTTCAAAGCCAGCCTGGGCTACGTGGTGCTTTTTTCTGGGTCTATCGAGATGGTCGTTTGGATTGTGTCTATTTTATTAAGCGATGCACTACCCTGATGCTCATAAACTCTTCATCTATGGATTTTGAAAAAAGGTTAGAACCAGATTAAAACAGCAAGCCTTTGCCTCCTGGCTGGGACTGATTCTTTCTGGCAGTTAAATCTCCTGATCGCCCGGGCAGGGGCTCCCTCTGATTCCCCCAGGTTGCAGAAACTGACCTGGGCCCAGTGAAGCAGCAGGCCCGGGAGAAACGCGGAGGTGCCCCACAATCCTCCCACTAAAGTTGTACCTCCTTTTCGGGACAGAGCTCTGTTAACTGCCCAGGTCAGAAACCCCGACCCCAGGCAACTTAAGCGAAAGAGGTTTGCTGGGAAGTTATCCGGGGTCAAGAATCGCGGCAAGTTCACCAGATGGGAACAGCTCCGAGCCCGTCAGGATCTCACCTCCAGTCCTGCCCTCCCTCCTGTCCCGGCCCGGGAACCTGCTGGACCGGTTGCCGTGGTCACGGGATTGGGCTTCTCCTATTGGCCCGCCCGAGCCTCAGGCCCCACCCCTCTTCCCAGAGTGGAGGAGGGCGGGGGAGTGGGCGGGGCTCTGCTGGCAGAGTCCTGAGCCCCCCGGGGCTCGCTGGGGGTCGAGGCCGG